AATGAGATTTTGGGAGTTAAAAAGTTAATCCAATGGCAACAAAGAAGTTCGGGGTGATTTTTTCGCGTGGAAGGAAGAGCACCGATGAACCCAGAGAAAAACCTCAAAAAAGGAAGGGAACCAATGATAAACTTTTCCTACGTGTGAGTTCGGATAAGTTAGGTTCTTTTTGTTTTTCTTAAAGTGAAGTAATGCGAAATTTTGTGTTCTTTTGAAAGTTATGAAAACATTAGGATCACCAAGTGTCCCATCTTGATCACCCAGCTAAAAAAAATAACTCTTGCATGCCACGCATACCTATGTTTAGGCCTACATTTGTGCATACCTACGCACAAATGTAGGTCGTACACCGTCAACCTTGCACAGGCAGCTTACATTGGTTATGAACGGAAGTAACTTTCTGAGCTCCAATACTTGAGCCAGGATGGTGATCGCTATTCAATACCACGTAGAGGCTAAAGACCTGAACTAGTTATTGATCCGCATGGAATAAACGTCTAACACTGGTGCCAGACGAAAACTGACGACTTCGCACTTGTGATCGGCCACACAGAAAACATTTTCAAATGTCTCTTTAAAGATAAATTGAATATCTGGTCAATTTAAAATATTTTGGTGCCAAAGGATGATCTTTATGAACAAAAACAAATGAGCCTTCAAACTGATTCCTTATTTCCTCAACAGGGAAATGAAACCAATGTTATATCTATCTCTACCTTTGCATTACATAACCCAGGAGGATATCCATTGCTATTAGACGGACCTCAGACTGCCGCTGAGGCCTCTTCATTTCTCGAGCTTATAAGATTTTATAGAAAGTTCATGGTGAGGAAAAAGGTTTTTTTTTCCCTTTTACTTTTCGTATATAAATCATTAATGAATGGTTTGAGAGATTTAGTTTAAAAGTCAATTGCACTGGATGGACCTGCGCTTTCTTGACTTCGATAACATCCTATGTGCCTTTCGTGTTCAGGTTACTGTGCTTTTCAAAATCACGCAAACAATAGAGTTGGAGATACATCATTGGAATACATTTTAGGCTGATATAAATCATAGTGCGGAACGCCGGGAAACGAGTGCGGAGTTCCAGAGGTTTCAAAGAATGGTTTTTTTTTTTCTTCTTTAGTTGTGACCGAGGAATTTTCATTCGTTTCGTTTGCTTCCGTATTTGGATGTAAGGTGAAAGCAGCATGAAAAAAAATGGCATACTTGGCTGTGAACCTCAGAGCGTTACGATGTTCCGGAGCAACAGGTTCCTGCATACAATACAATATAAATTTTATTCGCCATTCACAAATAAATACTTGTTAAAAACAATATTTACTTATATGGGAAGGGGGCCTCCAGAAATCACGGGGCATATGAGTGGGAGGCCTCCTTATAGGCGATACGCGTTCATTGGGAACATTCCTCTTGCCAAACCACCACCTTAAATAGTCTTTATATCTATCGATTTAATTAAAAACTTCGGAGACGTCTTTCAAAGGAAACAAAAGTCTCAGAGTGCCTAAAGCCATTGAGTAAAGAATTCCAAATTTTTGGTCCATGAAAAAATATATACAGAATTAATGATAAGCAATTAATAACGAAAAGGGGCAGGCAAAACCGGTATCATTAAATTCTGGAGTGTTGACTAGGTTTTACTCATTTCTTTATGGTTTTTTGTATGGTATGATTAAGTACTTGATTATTTGCTTGGCTGCTTGACTAAGCCAAGGGTCGCATAATAAAGTTTCTTTGCAACAATGTTAGAACACGAATGAAGTGGCAGCTCACGTGATCGCATGTTTGAGACATGGATGACAAATGAAACCGGCCTCTGATCCTGCCACAGAATGGCACAATCATTTTGAATTGCATTGAGAATACGTAGTAGTTATCGACTACCAATAACTTACACTCTCGGGAAAAAATCAATAATTTACTAAAGACAAAGAGCAGTGAGGTATTTTAAGGAGCCGTATTGCAGTTTCTTGCTAGCAATGGACTAGGATCACATCCAGTGGGAGGTAGTGATACTCATTGCCGCTACATGCTGAGGAAACAGGGATAGGCTCCGCCACGTAAACGGATTTGGTGACCTACCATTTATATCTCTTGTTTGCAATCGAGCGTCGGAGAAGCTTGAGAAAAATATTTTCCATACAATAGGCAACTTATGGAAAAAAAGACATTGACTAAAAATGAAAACTTGCGAGGGCAGTTGTAGCACATGCACACTTGTATCGGATCCTTAACAAAGGAAAACTAATCGGAACAGATTTTTCGGTCAATAAATAAGCTTGTACACAGCTTTAACGATTTTCCTTTTCCGCTTAAAAGTTAAGGTTTTTCCGTCGTTTAGGGCCATTTCGTGCGATTCCATAACGCACCCTACATGTTATATAGATCGTTTTACACATGATAAGGAGGCCCACATACACAAACTGAATTTTTTTTTCGGTTTGGTGACCTATCATTGACATGTATTTTAAAATTCGAGCGAAAACTTGGAAAAATCTATCCTTTCTGCCAAATAAGCAGTCACTGTAGAAAGACAGAGTCGTTAAAAAAGGAAATTTGCGACGGTGTTTCCTGTATCTTTGCATTCTAGTAGGCGGGCAAGTTGCTTTCCAGCAAACCGATATTGACTTAATCATTCATCGAAAAAAAAACTCACTTGTTCGTTTCTTACGTTCAATAGATTCCAAAGCCTAAAAGACAGGAGGAAATAGTGGCAACCTTGGAAGGTGGGGTTCAAGGAAACGCCCATAGATATGTTCTCGTTTAACCTGGAAGGACCTGAGTACTATGACGCCTCCTATGCCATTTTATCCACATGCCTGATCATGAGTACTTCTTTGACGATGCTGTTGGGGTTTGCTCCAAAGGTGAGAATTTTATGGTTGGAAACCTATCATTTACACATGTGATTATAGGGGTGTTTGGCTTAACTGTATTTCATTCATCATATCCTATCAAAAAGCGTCCGCAATTTCAGACTGTTTTAGGAGTTACCTTCCCTAGATGTTGGTTTATTCCCAAACAGGTCTCGCAGGTCTTTGCTTGGAGAAAGTCGTAATAAGAATATACTGTCGTGCCCAAAATTACAAAGTTATGTTCCCCGGTGATCTCTAAGGTAGCCTTTTCAATCCAGATTTGTAACTGCGCATTTTTAATCACGGAGAAATGCAGTGAGGAAATGATTGGCAGAAACAAAAGTCTATACAATGGTCAGATTTTGTCCTTTTTGTCATCGTAAAGAGGAGTGTGTCTTAAGAAAAAAGCGCACCCTATGTTGTATCCCAAATAACGGAGTTATTGAATAACAAGACTTGCGTTGATTGCAGAATTACCAGTTTCACACTAAGGACGAGATAACCGCTCAGAGGATCGAGCTGTTAACTTGATGGTGGGGCAAAACCCACAGTTTAACTGTTAAGCAACACGAATAGATCTTTGTGCATCAGAATGTGCAGATGGAATAAGAATAAAACTGCTCGCTTCAAAGTATTTCATATCTCACTGTTTTCCAGTGTTTAAGGGCTTTAAGGTCAGTATTTTTGATAAGACTCTGGATGTGAAAGAGTGATGACACTTAAGGATACTCACCCGCATACGACGCTACCATGTTTCAACGTGTAAATGTCATCTCTGCGAGTATTTCAGTTTTTAGTGAGAAAATACTGTGGATTTATCGAGACTTATTATCCCTAGATTTTCACTTTGCTAACACCTTGGCAATATCATTATAGAACCGCGGCTTCATAACAGAGAATTGGTTTCCTGTATTGCTTCATAAATGCGTCAGGTTTGCAACATTCGATTGAAAAAAGTGAGATTCAGCAAATTAATCCATCAAAGGTTTTGCGAAACTTAGCAGACCTCTGAAACATTTTTTTACTTAGCTGTCGGTAAAAATTTTTTGCCAAAAAAATAAAACCCAAAGTGCAAAATCTCTATACAAGTTTTTTGTTATGAATAGACAATAACTATATATCCAGCAGTTCGCTTAATAAAGATTTTACTGCTCACTACTTGGTAGTAAGAAATTTTATCGGAGAAAACTATTCCGGAAAAACAGTATAATTGCCAACGATTGAGCTCCAACCAAACTACTCAATCCAGAACCAAGGATGCTCAAAAACTTTTTTCTAAAGGACAAAAGACACACACACAAAAGAAATATTGGCAAATTGACATTTCCTTTTCTACCAGCTAAAAGCAGTAAGGAAACCCTGATGAAATTACAATCCCCTACCAATTTTTTTTACAAAGCATTTTTTTTCCTTGCCATATAATCATTGTAGGCCGTTAGTTCATCCAAACCTTTCATTTATTTTTGCGGACACGTTTCGTTGACTAATATTCTACACCCTAAATCATCGCAGGCAATCAATCAAATATGAACTTGCAATATCAAATGTATTTCATTATCAGGCAAGCTGACGGTTTCAAGAACTTTGCCTTCTGTCCAAGCCTAAACGAGTCTAAGGGAACCACGTTTTTTCGTTGCCCAGCCATTTACGGAGTCTTTTCCTCGTGATCATGAATACACAATTCTTTGACAAAAAAAGACGTAACTCGACATTCATTTCAATTTCTTAATCGATATATTAGCTAATGCACTAACAGAAACCAACAAAAATTCAGTTATTGAAGAATCTCAGTATCAACTACAGAACATGGCATATATTCGTGTTCTCCGCGTGAGATTCTTAACACGCTGAATTTTTGTTTCATGTCAAACCTTTTGGAAAAAAAGTGCCTCAAATTCCTTACTCAGTGCTGCGTCACATTCAACAATTGAGGGAAGAACACATCTGCATTACGTATAGATATCACGTGTGATGCAAATGCGTAACATGTTGTATGCCTTCAACAACACTGCAATGGTATTGATAGAGCAACTCAGCGAATGTTTAGTATATAAACCTCTTCAGGCGACTAGTACGTCAGCTGATCATGTCTGCGACTGAGCTAATTTCCGAAAATGGAGTTTTTTGGCCGATAAGCGAAGCTTCAAGGGCAAATGGTAAAAATTTCGAGACAATCTCTCAGCCAAGGAAATTATCACCTGAAATACCAGCATGCCATAAGTGGATTCATTTAATCCATAACCCTCCCATTAATTTTCGTATCGTGCGTTGACAGCAAAATTTTTTTGACTTTTTTTGACTTTCTGGACCAGCATTTTAAGATCAGCTTTTTAATATCACCACCAGTGAACTCTACAAAATGTTCAATAGTAAAGATAAAAAAGTGAAACTCAAGACCGGCTTTTTCCCGCTGACTTTGTTTCTTTTTGACGGAAATAATCGGGGGACAAATATCGACGTAAATGGTGGTTATTTTGTCAAAACTACCCGATGTACCACGTGTCGTAAAGTAGCCAATAGAATCGTGCGAAAAGTGATGGGTGGGATATAGCTAGCAATATACTTTATCACTTGACGTTTCCATTCAAAAAAATAGAAAGATGCATGCGTAGAATAGGCAGAAAAACGATCCCATGAGAAAAAGGAAGATTACTGATTTAGTAATTCATATGGTAATAGTGTAGCCGTATTGGGGATACATGTTCATTTGACAGTGGAATAATCAGTAAAAATAGAAATAAAAGCTATCTGTGCGTCAATAACAAAAACAGTCATTCATGTTATTGACAGCAAAGTTCCTCTGCTAAATCTCTCCGACTAACCAATGGATCACACAATGCATCATGTAGGACCATGTATGTTGCAGCTGAACCATTCCTCTCTTTCCAATGTAATAACATTTTGTAGATTTTTTCACACTTTTCCTCATTTTTCTCGTCAAACGCCGTTAATCTTGCTTCCTCAATATCGAGACGACGCCCTAATGTCTTCCATTTTTTGAGTTTCTGTGAAAGCCTCTCTAAATCTTCGTCACTGGGAACTCTTTGCTTGACTAAAAAAATAAAGACATCAAAGCAAAGCATCAAGATAAGGGAATAGCGAGTAGTACGTATCGCAACTATTCACGCCATTTTGCTGGATCCATGCATTTTTATTTTACAAAGGCAGGGGGAAGGAAGATGGGGTCGGGGGGTGGGGTTAACAGGCACGCCCATAGATATGTCTTCATTTTACCTACGAAACCAGTTTTTCCTTTCTTTGGAATTGAGGCGTCACTCGGAGACAAATCTTCATTACGGCGTTTCATCTTTTGCCGACGTTTGGTATAAATACCTGAGAACAAATTAAAAAAAAAATGATTAAACCAGCTTTTTGAGCCAACAGATTCATTGTAGCAATGGAGCTTTTTCCTTTGCTAATGAAACGTCTGCTGAGGAATTTGTTTCAAGGCCAATTCGTGCCATTGCATCATGCATACCTACTGTGCATCATTTTACACGAAATATGCACGCCCACATACGCAAACAGAAGATTTCTTGTTCTTTTTATTCTGCCAGGATGAAAAATTGTCATCGTCTCGTTAACGGATTTAGTGACATACCATTTATATCTCTTGTTTGCGATCGAGCGGAAAGCCTGAAAAAAGTCTTTTCCATACAATAAACAACTTGGGTAACCAAAAAAAAAAAAAAAAAAGAAATTCACTAAAAATGAAAGCTTGCAAGGGCACTTGTAGCACTTCCAAACTTGTATTGCATTCGTAATAAATGTTAAGGAAGTCTAATTGGTACAGATTTTTTCGGTCAAATAGATAAGTTTGTATATAGCATTGACGATATTCCTTACCCGCCTAAAAGTTTTCAGGTTTTTCGGTCGTTTAGGGCCATTTCGCGCGATTGCATTACGCGTCCCGACATGTTATATAAATCGTTTTACATGTGATAAGGAGGCCCACGTACACAAACAGAATGTATTTTTAAAATTTTATTTTTTGAGTTTGATGACCTATTCAAATGTCTTTATTAAAATTCGAGCAAAAAACCTTGGAAAAAACTAACCTTTCTGTAAAATAAATAATCAGTGTAGAAAGACAGAGTCGTTAAAAAGGAATTTTGCAATGGTAATTGTGAATATAAAAATAACAGTTATACATCAATAAGTAACTGTCGCAGAGAAACAAGGAGCTGGACCACGAGGCCACTTTCGTGGACTCTACGTTGCGCCTTCTGGTCTCTTTTTAAGATGTCATTCACCGCTTTCCCCACAAGAGGCGGTTGATGACAATCGAAACCCTCTACTTTCACACAGTATTTCCTGTATCTCTGCATTCTACTAAGCGGGATTATAGCTTTCCAGCAAACTGATATTGACTAAGCAATTTATCGAAAAATTTTTTTTCTGATGAAAAAAACTTACCAGTTCGTTTCTTACGTTTGTGGGAATCCAAACCCTAGAAAGCAGGAGCAATTAGTGGCAATCTTACCCTTACAGTTAGCAGGTAATAGAATAAATTGATAAATGAATATAAGAATAAAAATAATTTTTAATGTATACTTTAATAACCCAACTGACTACCCTTCATGTGATCTCATTTTGAATACCAAGTTTATTAGGGCGAGTGGTTGAAAAAAAAAGTACGTAATGATTATCAGATATGGAAATGGACGTCGTGCATCGTAAAGGTATCTCCCTATTCCTCTTTCCAGGCCTACACATTTGGAAATGAAAGAACCATTGCAGCTAAAATCAAAAAGTAGAAAACTTGGGAAAACAATAGACTACAAATACTTCAAAAAGTATACAAAAATGTAGCTCCCTTACATATAGTCACCCAAAGTACTGCAGCTCACGGGTAGCTGATTCTGACACTAGATATTTAGAAAACGCAATACTAGTAATTAAAGGGAGTATAAGCATTTCTTATACACCCTCGCATCATTTAAGACAAACTGCCTAAAACATACAGCGAATCCTGTGTTTCGCAGAAGGAAGATAATTTCATGTCTCTATCTTTCTTTCCCTTTTTTTTAGTGTTTGTTTCTTTTTTTACGTTTTCTGGCAATCACACAAAATTTAATAATTAAAGAAAGATCATTGCAGCTAAAAGAACTTTTGAAGTATTTGTAAAAGATAAAGCCTGGACAAATTCAGGTTTTGATGGGAATCGAATATCCTATGAAAGTGTTTCGTGCGACAGAGCTATCTGCCAACCGAGAGTTTCAAACTCTCCTGATTCACTGTACGTAAATTTAATTTTAAATTAAATTTAGTCTTTTTCTCTAACCTGAACCCAAGGATTTAGTTTTTCTTCAGGATAGTGGGGAACAGCATTAACAGAGTGTTCGCAACTCGGGCCAAAGCTTGTTAACGGAATGTAGTGGCCACAGTCAAAATGAGAGCAGCCTTCCTTTTTGTGCAATATGCAAATGTTGGTTCTGTCACGACACTTATCTGGACAAAGGTCACACAACGAGCATTTCACAGACAATTTCATCGTGACTGAACGTAACCACGGACAGGTGGAGCTTAGCCTAGTCTTGCAACACTCCAGATGACTGCAAAGAACAAACATAGCAACAAGGATCTCAACAACGCGAATAACGCAAGCATGACTCATTGTAACGTACATTTACCCGAAGGCATCCCACCTAATCGAAAAAATTAGCACCCAGTCCCACAGGGATCATAACGATTTAAACAGTCAAGAAAATTAAAGAGGGCCCTTAAGTTTCCCTATAGTTACAGCAACGTGAGAGTATTTCATCGATTGCTTTGATTATGGTATTTCATTTAATATTAATTTACCAGTAATTATTAAGTTTAAGGGAAACGAAACAATTCCAGATAAGATTGTGGCTTGCCTCAGTAATTCTTTGCAAATTCTTTTCTCTTCCATTTTATCCGAGTCTCGCGGTGTCCAGATCTTCAACTTGATCACAGTTTTGAGACACTCTAAGGTGAGCTGGTAATCTTTACTAACGGTGAATTGAGCGGCGTTTGCAAACAACGAAGGGGCCATACAGGAGCCACATAATTGTGAGGTCCATTCCCAAAATTGTACAACCAATCTGCAAAACAGCCCGCATGGAACGTAGTTCGTGTTAAATGTGAGAAATACGGGCAAAGGGCCAGTGCGCGTATTTGTGCCTCTCGTATTCTTCTTTGGTGATTCCAACATACAAGGAACCAAATAAGGGTAATCTTCTCCCTTGCAGTTCTTAGAGTTGCATATAACATCAAAGCTTTCCATGATATAAATCAGTGAATTCCTAATATCATTCAATTCAAGGTGTTCAAACGCTCGATTTAGCAACTGCTGCGAAAGCAGTCCCTTTTTCCCAAGGACTTGGTAATCTTTCTGAACAACAAGGTCGATTTTCCATGGTGGACTCAACGTAATTATCTCACATAGTATTTTAATTAACCACTGCGGATCCAGCACGACCAAACCATCTGGATTTTCAGGGAGATCTTGGTAGATAACTCTTCCGCGAGCTTGTAAAAAGTGTAGCAATTCTTCGACGTCATCTGGGCCATTAAACTGGCAAATGCCTCCAGAAAAGTCCTCTGCAAAACGCTTCTTACCAACATAATGCATCCCTTTTTCCACCATTTCGTCGACTTTTTGTTCCACACGGAGCCACTGCATAGGGATTACCTTGTTGATATGTGGCATTGCTTTAGCCAGGTCCAGTAATTTCGCACGCAAAGAAACGATCTGTGGGTCGTTTTCTCTGTTTGGATTTGTGTTATCTATGAAGAGCGAATCTTTTAAAATATCGCCTAAGGTTGCTTGATGAGCCATGCTGCAAATGATCCTATCCACAGACTCCATTTCCTTGCAAGGATCCCTTACACCATCAGCATGTGTACCCACAAGCACCACAGGAGGCAAAACTTCGTTAGTATCTGGCCGTCCTAAAGAGTGCACCAAGTCCAGCCATCTCATCATGTGATCGAGATTAGTGTCCTCGGCGTAAGGCGAGTTTACCTCTATTTCATCGCGATTAGGCGGTCTTATCCGACATTGGGTAGAAGCGCTTAACTCCTTAGTAAGATCTAACACTAGGACATATATGGCTTCTAGCGATAGGAAGATTGGAAGAATGGCATGGTATACTGCCTGGCCAGCAAAATCCCAAACAAAGGGCCATACTCCCTCATTGTCGCAGGTTTCGTTTCCCTTGAGGCTATGATCTACGAGGGAAAGGACTTTCTCAGGTACTTCTTCTGGTTTTCGCTCACTTTTGACTTCCTGAAAAACTAATATTGACATTCTCTAATCAGGTTTTACGTTTGTTAAACACGCTGTTCAAGTGCAAATAACATACGGAAGCTACCAGTTAAGCTTAATATGACCCAGGACCAGTTGTTCAAAGCAAGAGTAATGCTGTTGACTAAATTTGTATTTTTGTGTATAAGAACTAAAAATTTATAAAAGCTTCGCGTCACTCAAAATAAACACTCGCCCACTCCTTTAGCAATCTGTGCACAAAAAAAAGAAAACTTCTAATATCGCATGATTTCGCGCGAGTGTATGGGTAGAACCTTTACGGGCTTTACGCGTCCAAAATGATACGTTTACGTTACAGAGCTGGCGCATCGGGAGGTGCTTATCCCTACAAGCGAAAGGTCGAGGGGTCGACTCCAGGCGCTAGCAAGATCCATTTTTTCGTCTTTCTTTATCTTTTATATTTCTCAATTTTTTAAATTGTACTCTAACAAAGCATATGTTTTCTATTCTTTTCATCCGAATATCACTTTTTTCTAAGCAGAAATCGGCATTCGAGAAACAAATTACTGAAGCACAGCGTTTGTCTATCCTTTGACGATGTAGCTCTGTAAGTGCCTTACGCTAGGTTCCCCATTTTGAAAACCGCGAGAAGCTTGGGAGGTTTACGGACTTACACGACATCATAACTGAGTGCCCGCGGCCTTCATTGAAGGAAGGCACTGTAGGAACAAAAAGGGGAGGTTTTAATCATTCTAGAATACAGTTCATCGATATTGTCTTTATCGGCGATCGATTATTCAAATTCCAGGTAAACAAGGTTTAAAAGGAAGACCTACACTAAAATGTAAGGCGGCTTGTCGTCCCCGAAAGTATATTTATCCGAGCGGCCCGTATGCGCAAGATTTGTTCAAACCTTGGTCGAGACCTCATGCACGCAATATTAATTCTAATCAATTTTTCAGTCATCAGTAAAATTTTCTGGTCTCAGATCTCAGCTGTCGTTATTTCTTAGCAGACTGGTAAAATTTTGACCAATTCCTAGCTATCAGTTGAGCTCCATGCAAGAAATTCTGAATATGCAAAAGCCTCATACGCTAACGGACTTACCCAAAATTGGAAAGAAGATGTGGAAAGGAGTATTACTCGAGTGATTGATGCAAGGAGTGAATTTTGGGTCATAACAACAACTCAGAAATTTGCATTCAGTCAATTTCCTTAACGAGTTACTATAACAACAACGTTTGCATATGTAGGCCGCTACGAATGATTGAATGTTCACGGACAGACTCATTCACGAACGCGATATCAAGGAGTCTACGTTGCCATGGCACCGTAGATTTAAAGATAACACACAACCTAACCAAACGAGAAGCCACATTATAAACAGTCAGAGAGGAGCTCACTCAATTTATAACCGCCGTCAATTCCTTCGCGACGTGGAAAGAAATGACAAGGACGCATCCAAACCAGTCGCTAGACATTTTAATCTCCCTAATCATTCTAAACAACATATGACAGTTTGCGGCCTTTTCTCACATCTAGTTCGGAAAGCTGCAAAACACTAGAACAAAAATTTATCTTCCATGGTGTCAAAGAGCGCTTTTCATTCAACTAATTTATTCCTGTTTTCTCGCCACCATACTCCCAACAATAGCGTAGCTCCAGCTTCTGAATATAAACACACACACAACCCACAATTCCTCCAATCGCTATGACGAAGGGGTAACGCTCGAAACGTCAGTTTTTTTTATTATTTACGGTGGCTAATTTACGTTTTCAACTCAGTTGCTAACACTAAATTACCGTCACCTCCACCTCCGTATTGAGGTGCACAAATATTCCGATATAGGCAAACATCTTAAGGACGAAAACAATCAAAGACCGAACAGTCTTCAAGAGCAATTTGTCATCCTAAAGATGCCGCAGAAAGTTTGAGTGCCTCATTTATGAGATGATTTTAATGAGAAAAAGAGACCGACTCTGAACACTCAAAGAGACCCCATTCCAGCAAAACTGATTATTCATTCAGTTATGTATATTCTTTTGTTTAACTCCATCTCATGTTATTCTAATTTAGTTTCACACTTTCCTTTCTTAATATAATGTCATCAACTTACAATAATTTTTCATTTGATAATGGTGACATGTCGTTCCCGAAACGCCATGTTTTAATCTCGCTATTTTTTTCCATAAATTGAGAATAAAACAAGCGATAGAAATACATGTACTTAGAAATATAAGCGCTGCAGTACTGCAAGGGATTTTTCATTCGTGATCGTGAGGACGATCCGATCACGAAAGTCGTTCAAATAATCGTCCCCAGTCTCTTGAACGAGAAAAGTCATGGGAGAAATGCAATCAGTTCGTAACAAGTCGTAAGACTCTCATTAAAACAAAACAAAAAATTAACAATACGTTGTAGTTTTGCGCTATAAAGTGCTTTTGCTGAAGGGTTGGGTGTTGATACTGTGTTGTAATTAGAAGAATATTTCGCAGTAACATTTTTCTAGCAAGAAACGAAGTTTGACCGAGTTCAAATTTTTTTGGGCCGTTCATCTTGACCGGCGATCGTGCTGCCGTTTTTAGCAGCCTCGAGTAACCTCTCCGGTCGTTAAAAAGTACCTTGATTCTGTAAAGAAGGTAGTTAATGTCAGGGCTATAGCGAGCTTTACCTTACCATTTTTTTCAATGACTTCTTTTGAAGCAGGGGGGTCATTTGAACGTTTTTGAGTCGCCCCCTTTCCACTTTTTGGTTCGCCTCTCGTCTTTTCTACTTTACCAGTAAACAGTTCAGCCCCTTCTGGTCGTTTCATGAGACTGCTGATCACATCTTGTGCAATCACTTCCGCGCACTTGTGGTCAAGTGCACTTGTGTTTTCAAGCGGGTCTGGCTTCCTCCATGCCCCTTTTCCTGCGTTCCTGACAGGGGAAAGCATTTCAATTCCATTAGTGCTGGGTTCATCTTTAACAAATGCTTCACCTGTGAGATATCTTCTCAGACTTGTTTTGCCAACACGGTCCTGACCAATCAACACAATTTTGGTACGTCTATCGAAAGTTACGCCTTCTTCCAGCGCTCTTCTGTATGCTTCTAGTCCCACTGGTCCCCTCGCCTGTACGTAGTAGGGAACTGAATTTGCGACTGCTCGGGAAAAAAAAAGAAAAATCTAGCTAAGTAGTGAATGGACTGTCGCGGGGAGGGGGGTGGGGGTGATGGTAAATTCGAGCCTTGCTTGACTGACGTGGGGAATTTGAACCAGACGTGTCAAGTCTTTCCAGCGAAATACACGTGTTTGGAGGTGTTTAGAGGTAACGAGTTCACTTTCATGTGTGAAAGGGTCAGAAGAAAAGTTCTACAAGATCTACGTTTTGAAGCCTGCCCAACAAGCAAAAAATCCCGATAATGTTAAAAAACAATACAGCCAAGAGCATAAAAAACATTTGCATGGTTCATACACGCTCCCTCTATACAAATACTACCAGTCAGCGGTTGTTGTTACTGTTTGTTTGAATGAAACATGTATTTACCGCCAGTAAAGAGAAAGAAGTTGATAATGTGAATTGGCCTCCGTAAAGAGTTTCTAAAGCTGATGTTTCGAGCGTCAAGCTCTTTGTTGGACCGATTAGGAGAATGTGGGTTGTGTTTGGGTTATAAAATGAGGGTTGGGCTGAGCTGGGGGAGGGGAAAAGGGGGGGGATTAAGGTGGAAAGCGTACTCTGACATCCGTCAGAAGGAGATCATCTTGGGTAGGTTTCCGATTACGAAATACGAGCTCACCCGATGTTGTCTTCGTGATGAAGGCCCTATTTAGCATATTATACCCGCAAAACAGACTATATTACAGACTCCACAAAATTTTTGCGATGCCTCCTTTTCACGGATGGCCGATCAAAACTACAACATAGTGGCACCTCCACGAAATCTGTCAAAAGGAGGATGTTAAAACACCGGAAATGGCGAGGAAGATAAATGTTACGGTCGATTAACTCCCAGACAATTGAATGGTCCAAACTCGCAGAGGCGGGAAATTTGTTATAGTCCGAGATATCAAAGTATCTGTTTGCTTACTCAATTCGTATTCAGCGTTCCGCCGTATTACAATCGATAATTTCGCTTTCTGAACAAAATTTCCAATTCTATGATGGCACGTAAATCAACTTCTCAAGAAGTGAGTTCATTGTTTGAGAGAAAGTTGTCGGAAAGGTCAGGTCTGGTGAAGGATGTCAGGTCAGCAGAGTTCATTCTTCGAGAGTACGAAACTGCTACCGTCACCAAATTCTGTGGTATCAAGTCAACTGACAAAGGTTTAGGAAACACAGGTGAGGCGCCGTTTGTACGATTGTATTTTGTTTTGTTTGTACGATTGTATTTTCCGTGATGTAATATCCTGGGCTTGATGTTTCTTGGTAGACATTTGAATAAAGTAGGGGGATTTGATCTAAAGGCACTTAGGGAGGATGGTGTGCGGTAGATGAGAGTTCACTGTAAGAACGATACCACACTTATTTGACAGGCCCTACGCATGCTTGTAAGTGACAGGTAACTTGGTATCATTATCATTGTCATGATCCTTTTTGACACATAATCGTTTAGAGAAAGGGTGATAAGTCGACTATGCTTCTCAAATTTGTACAAATTTGTTTTGTAACATAGACTTGGCAGCTAATAAACACAAGGTATTATGGGAGGATAGTTGTCTGCCATTTGATCACGTCCCATTTGTTGTGGTAAATCACAAGGTATACAATTGTCAACATGGTGTAGATTGACATCTAAGCGAGGAAAGGAAAAACCAAGCAGTACGTTGAAAGTATTTTGTATTTAAATGGTTTTGCAGATTTTTTATCTTGCGTTGGTTAAAGGTCAAGATCAAGTAGCCTTGAGTTTCCTCCTCCTTGCATAAACGGATAAGAGAGTAGATGATTTGAAAAGAGGACTCGATAGGATAGGATATTTCAATGTCCAACATCGAAGAAAGTTTCAGTGGAAACGTGGTGTTATGTCGCTGCTTAAAAAGTTTCCATTAACAGGAAGACTTCTTTTTTCCCAAAACATAGGCCGGTGACCACGCCTGTCGAAGAAATGGAGCTGGTAAACTTCTACAAGAATCGAGGAAACTCGACTGTCCTGCAAGAGTGCACATGAGAGAAATCATCAAATTTCCAGAACACAAGGTAAGTCGGAATAAAGAAATTGCAAAATGTAATTAGAACAAGGAAAACGCCGACCTATAAATGACATCACAAAAACGTCAATTTGTGCTCCTCCTTTTGACCTCTAGATCTAGCAAAAGACGGAGTGGCGCTGTAGGAGTCATTCCAAAAAGCTGCGTAACGCCATAGATGCTGGAACAGCAAAAACTGAAAGGTAGATTAACATCCATTTTCCCTAAGTCGATGAACACACCGTGCACCCAACTGGAGAAGTAAGCTCTTACAATTAAATACCCAGTTACCGTCGTCACAGTTTTTGTTGCGGGCTACATATCTGTTCCTTCTCATAGACATGAGTGGGTTAAAAACCGCATTCAGTCGTGTACGAAAGAATTACTTTTCGATTATCTTAATCTTTTTATTTACTTTTTTTACGCTTGATTTCTGATTTATTCATTTCTTTGTTAATTTTGAATTTAGGCTGGAAGTCTGTTTCAGCGCAAAGATGAGAGGCTCGTGGCAAAAAACAAGAACCCGTATGTGCAGGAGCAAGATCAGAGAAAGAGATATGCCGACATTTAAAGATCTTTGTGCAAAGAGAATTATATCGAGGGGAAAAAGCGCCATTGAAGACCAACAGACGCTTTTATCCCTCCAAAGTTACAATTAGAAGTCAAATTTACAAATCCTTAGTCAAAGAAAGGTTCTCGAAAATTGACCAGGAGGATCGTCAGGAAAAGGTGAAGCTTTGGAGAGAGAGTTCTCCTGAGGATAATTTTGCGTTCCAACCCTATGCAACTTACAACGAGAGGAGAGGAACGAAACGGGGATGATGATGATAGCAGTCGTAGCGATGGTGGAGAGGATGATGAAGATATCATAGTAAAGACGCCAACTAAAGGGCTCCTATTTGCGCAGCAGACGAAAGATCAACGACGGCTTTAAGAACACTATGGGAATGAAATAAGTATGCTAGACGCTACTCATAAGACCACGAAGTACAGCCTCCCTCTTTTCTTTGTAGTTGTGAAGACCAGCGTCGATTATCAAATTGTAGGCTCTTTCGTCATCCCAAGTGAAACGTCAGATTCCATTTATGAAGCACTCTCGATAATTAAGTCTTGGAACCCCACCTGGAACCCCTCATATTTTATGGTGGATTTCTCAGAAGAGGACAAGTCTGCAATTGGCAAGTTACTTCCAGGTATTAAGATTCTTTCTTAGAGCAGTGTCACACTGCGAAAATAGATATCTGGAATCGTAATTGATGATCATTTATGGTTTTATAAAAGAAAGACGCGAGCACAGTCGCCATCTTCTAAAATCTAATACATATTTAATGAACGTCCTGATTCAGAAACAAACAAAGTACACGAGAAAAATCAACTCCCATGATCACTTTTACAATAAAATTCTCGACAGGTGGAAGGTATTTTGTTACTGTTTCTCCCTCTAAATAATTATTAACATTCGTCGACGAATGTTAGGCTAGTGCCAGTTTGATTCTTTCATGCAAAGTAACTTCATTCATTTTACCCTTTTTTTCCAATGGCAATAGAGAGAGAGTGCGATCTACATCTGCGACTTTCATCGTGAGCAGGCATGGGAAAGGTGGCTTTCAAAGTCCAGCAATGGCCTACTGAACGAAAAAAAAAAAAGTCCTTGCAAAGCTGCGAACGATAGCTAAGGCCCGCACGGAAGAAGAGTATCGGAATAGAGTTAGCGACCTCCAGGATAGCGAAGACTGGAGGACAAATACCAACTTAAGTAACTATATCACAAAGACAGGGCTGCCTCAACACAAGGTATATGCATACTAACTATTATATCTTCTTGAATTTCTTGCTGGAAAAGCTAATTTCTAATTCTTTTATAAAAATGGGTATGGGCGTTCAGAAAAGACCGCTTCCTTACAACTATCAACACCAACAATGGCGTTGAAAGGTAGAATAAGGCTTTCAAGTACGATTGCCTAGAAGGAATCAAACAAAGAACCTTGAGTGGGATGCTCTCAGTACTAATAGATAAGTTCCTTCCTCACAAGTATCTCAAGTAAGTAATTCCCGCTTTCCGTCTCCAAGAATATAATGTCTATTTTTGGAACATTTTGTGTTTATTTGTACACTTTGGCAAAGAACGTCTCACTTTCAGTGTGAAATGCCCGAAAATTTAGTAATGAATGAATAAATGAATGAAAATAAAGATGTTTACAGTTTTAATAAATTTTAACGGACAGTTAAATAGTCTAACGAAAGAATGGGAAAAGAAAGTTATTTTTCAATATGAGAGAGTGACTAAGTGGAAGGCGAGACAGTATGTATAGGCATGACACAAATACCATTACCATGGAGTAAAAAGGAACATTCTAATGGCCTTTTTGTATCTCAGGTATGTGGAATTGAATACAAAACCTCAAGCAAGTTTTCGATGTTATAACTCTGCCATCCCCTCCTATTTAAGAGAACGACCACACCACATCATAAAACATTCCATTCCGGAGACTGGCTCACCGACTATATTGTAGGTGCAGCCAAGTCTGTTCTGAGGGAGCAGTTCCCTCACGCAAGAGGATTGGAAAATATAACTTTGGGGGCCGATTTTTAATAATTCTGTTAAAAAAGACCAATTTTCACAAATCCTGAATACTGGCAGCCATCATTGGCTGTTGGTATCTACTGTAGGATGCTACACTCCTTCTGTAGTTTATCTGTACGACAGCCCGTTTTCGGGAAGAATTGCAGCCCTTGTGCAGAAACAGTTGCATCAATTATATACAAGAAAGGAACAAGTTTTAAGGTCATTGTACCACTTGTGCAACACCAAAACAATTACGATGACTGTGAAGTTTATGCTATTGCTTTTCTGGTGTCGCTACTACATAGCCTCAACCCTTCTAATCCGACATTTCACAGGAAGCTAATAAGACAACATCTTTTAAAGAGCCAGGAGAGTGGGTCATTCGACCCCTTTTGCCCTCTCTAAAGTACCCGAGTGTCGAGACGGGAGGCCACTTTTTGTTCAAGAGGTCTCGGTAATGTGCGAGTGTATAGTGCCGAGGGAAGAGTCAGACTCGAAGTCTCGTTGTGTGAAATGTTGTACCTGCAAAGAGTTTTGTCACAGGAAATGCATTTCAACAATTATTTTGGAAGGTTCAAATGCAAACTGGCGTTGTCCAAACTGCGAAAGAGCCCTTAAGCAGGAAGAGAAAAATAACCATTAATTTAACATGTAGCATTAAAAACTGATTCTCAGAACTTCCCATTAATTGTTTGTTAAGATAATAGTCGAAGTGAAATATATCTGTGTAGTAATTTTTATCCATGTACAAGTCAGCTAAAAGAACTTTTAAACGTATTCATAAGAAACTGTTTCTTGTAGATCTTTCCCTAAGTACGCTCTTGCGTTTAGAATTGAAAATCCTCATCTAAACATTGTAAAAATATTATCGTAAAATATTTTCAATGATATCATTGATGGCACAACGCAGATAGAAAACATGTAATAAGTGAGATAAGTCACGGATTTTCCTTGTCGACAAAAGTAATATCGCCTGCTACATTATATTCATACTTAATCTCCGTACAATCGAGGTAATGTACAATTTTTTAATCAATTACCATATTAGAAATAACAATATATCGCTTAAACTCTGAACGTAATTGCGTTAAACTTATTTCATCAGAAATCCAGAAGATTTTTCGTAGTTTTGGGCGTGGTTGCTTTTACTGAATTTACCATATACCTAGATGTTTTATCTGAAAAGCTTTATTTGAGAAAAGGTATAGTTCGTATTTAAAACATCATTTCCGGTGTTTTAACATCCTCCTTTTGAAAGATTTCGTGGAGATGTCATTACGTTGTAGTTGTGATCGGCCATCCGTGAAAAGGAGGCGTCAAATGTGTTTTATGTAATATGTCATATAGGTGAGCAACGGAAAATAATGCATGTCTTATCGGTAGTACAAAGTCATGAGCGAAAACGAAGTAAGTGTTCCTTTCTACTCTATTTTGCGACTCTAAAATGCTAGATAGGGCCTTCATCGCGAAGACAAGATCGGGCGAACTCGGATTTCGTCATCAGAAATCTACCCGAGATGACCTATGGTATTTTAACATCCTCCTTTTGACAGATTTCGTGGAGGTGTCACTATGTTGTAGTTGTGATCGGCCATCCGTGAAAAGGAGGCATCGCAAAAGTTCTGTGGAGTCTAATATAGGTTAGCAACGAAAAAAATGCAAATATCTTAACGCTAGATCGAAGTCATGAGCAAAAACGAAGTACATGTTCGTTTCTACTCTATCATGCGGGTCAAAAATGCTAAATAGGGCCTTTATCACGAGCACAACATCGGGGGAGCTCGGATTTCGTAATCGGAAATCTACTCGAGATGACCTCCTTTTGACGGATTTCGGAGTACGCTTTCCGGTTAAGGCAGGAGTTTCGAGGTGTATTATGGGGGAGCGGATGTCTTCTTCCCAGAGGGAAAATGCTATCAAAAGCGTGAAAACATCCCACCATCAATCGTTGTAGAATGAAATTAGAGCTCCCGCACAGTACTGCTCAGAAATACGTTAACCGAAAAACGCACATGAAACGCGCCAAAAATCGCATGCAAATGCCACTAAAAAATTCATGCACGTCAAAATTTCGCACGTGCGCGCCTAAGCTTGACAAATTTGCCTCTTTAGAATGTAGGAGCTAAGCCTTTTGTTTTGCTTTTGTTGTCAGTTTGTTGTTTTAAAGAATAGGCTACAATATAATAGCAATAAAAAACTTCACGGCCGCCAACGTTAAGTAAAATTGTTCGTTTCACTCACCGTTCGAACCGACCTCCCCGATGTACTGTAACATATAATGCGACATCTTAATCGGAATACACAAATGATTGATCATTTTCCAACGGACTTCTTTTATTACAGAAGCTGTTTCTTACTTCTCAAAAAAAAAAATTAATAAAAAAATCCGCCGCAACGGCTTGGGAATGTTTTCAAAATAAAGTTATTCTCGATGTACCGTATTTCGGCAGAATCAGAAAAGGCGCCCGTTTGTAATCAATTGTCGCGTTCTGGATACGAAACCATGCACAAATGCTTATTTCAGAGCATTTGTTATTGACAAACATGCTGTTCTCGGAAAATTTTCCATTCATCTCGCCTTTAAAAAAAAAAAAGAAAAAAAAAGTGCTACTCGCTTATTTTTACGGTGTTGTGTTACCTGTCACGACTAGCTCTTGTTCTTTTAACTGGTATGCAAATTTTCACGCCAAACTTGCTGATTGTTTTCGTTCGAAATTCTTATCGTTAACATTTTAATTAGTTTGATTTTCTATTATAAAATAAGCTAGGTTATGGTGTGAATAAATTACTTGGGTAGTTGCTATTTTCTTTAAATCATTTTGTTGCCAGATTTAAAATTTGAGAGTGTGTTTTGAAAGTTCTTGACATTTTTAACAGACGCTTGCACAACTTGCAAATGAACCGTAGTCTATTGAAGCGTTTTCGGTTTTCGTGTTTTACCTTGTGCATTACTTCAACTGTGCATGTCATAGTTTTAATGAATATAATGCGCTCCGCAAGTGTTCTGTGCCCACAATCGACGCGAAATGAAACTTTAAATGGTCCACGACTACACTCACCCGGACGATCAAACTATTACATGAAATGAAACTGTTTACATTTGGGTGCGTATAAAACACTGAAGTGAGCGGCTACTGCAGTGAATAAACGAAAACATCATTCAAAGTCTAAAATAGTAAATTTTCCTTCTGTTTCTCAACATTTGCTAATTATTTATCGAAGGTGATCGAGGAAGTTTGAAGTTTCAAATAAATCATGATTCACCGAATTGTTTACATTCCACTGTGTAATTCAAGCGAGCGCCGATTGCAATGAAGAAATTGGGATGCATGTTAGTGAGTGTTCGCATCGTTATTCGCTTGATGATACATGTGTTTCAGTGCCTTAAATAAGTGAAATTTTCCTTTCGCTCTGATTCATCAACAGCTCAGATCAAGCAAATCTTCTGCTACCACTCGTTATTCGATAAGTCCGCGAAGCGATGAGACGTGAATATGTGTGTGTACTCTGATAGTGTCGACTCGTCGCTTTTTCAAACCGAAAACAATGTAACACAAAGGAAACTTGTACCACTCGTACGTTGAATCAAGGTCAACATCATCTTATTTAATTTCTTACCTTTTGTTAGCCCAGCCTAACACCGTAAGCAGAGCCAGTGAAATTGCTGACAAACATGCAACATTTCTGATCTGAGAGCTGTTTTGATTGGTCAGTGCATGATCATAGGTTATCAATCATGTTTTTAATTCAATTTTGGTAATTTGGTTCTAGTACATTTATAAAAAAAACAACAAAACTAAACAGCATACAAGACTAGCTAGTGACTGCAAGCAAATATGCTGTAGGCCTAATAATGATAAAAGTGTATCTGTTTACCTTCATAATGTGGCCAATCTTTAAAAAAACTGTATCGGTTTAGAATGCTGACTACAAGAGAAGCTACTGCTACACTTGCAAATGTTTGCCAGTTTTCGTTTGCTTCAGTTCCATCTGCATACCCTGAAATACCCCTGATAACGACCCACTTCATGTTCAGATCACGTGCCGCTCTGAAAACTCCTGCGACAAAAAATAACAAGCTTTTATGAATGAACTAGCAAATTTGCTCCAACATCTATTGATTTTAACCATTGTTATCATGTTACTATTATTATCAAAGATTTGTTAGGAACTAGACATATGTTTTGGAAGGTCACCTTACATATACTAGGTGCAGAGCTAGTCCCTGTAGCACAAACTTCTCCCAGGTCCCATACCATTCAGCCACTAAGACTATACTCTTACTGGCTGCCTCCATATTTATGTGAAATACTGGTCAGTTCATTAGCAGCTGTCTTTACTCCTAGGTATAGAGACACACTGTGAGGGTAAAGCCTCCCAGTCAAGACTACAACACAATGACTTTAGCCCAGGGCTTGAACCCAGACTTCTTGATCTGAAGTCCACTATGTTCACACACAAGCCACTGCATCTCTTGACACTGGCATGAAAACTTACCAACCACAACTAATCATATAAGTATCAACTCTTTTTCTCCCAGGATACAAATATACTCAAATATCTCTTTGAGTAGATTTTACAGTAACTGTTACTTCATAGGAAAAAGAGATCTTACCCTCTCCTTCTGTTTCAATTGCAATTGCTTGAGGAAATGACTTCATGAGTTCATCTTGTCGCCACTCAGCTTGTACAAGCTCAGAACCATTCAAAACCTCACCAAAATGGAAGTTAACTTTCCTTTCACTAGGATTTACTAGGGGTGGATTCCAACCATAACATTTATAATAGATGAATTCAGCGATGATTCTGCTTACAGGAGTTATGAGCCCACAAAATTTCTCTCCATCCTTTGTAACCTTCTGATAGGTACAGGTTGTGAGCTTGTCGGATACAACCACATCCCCTAGCTTTGTTGATTCCTGATTCATACCATTACAGTGGCCCACAGAAAAGACAGCTTTTGGCCTCAGCTGAGTGACAGCATTCTTTACAACAGTCAAAGCACCACCAGGAACGTTAGAACCCTCTGAGCATTTCATCAAAGCAACTTTTAGTTTATCATCTTTATCTTCACCAGTGCTACCAAAGTATACAGAACCAAGCACTGTATGATAGCTTTTGAATAGCTCATTAAGATAATAGCAGCAACTTAAGAACTCAACTTCTTTCACTGTTAACAACAGTATGTCAACTGGGAGTTGAACCTCACTCCAAAGTTTTGTTGACTGAGAAAGCTCATTTAACTTTGAAAGATTAACACTGATCTTTGGTGGATCACCATGATTGTTACTGAAAGTGCTGGCTTCCATTCTAACTTGTAACAATGCCAATCAGCTTCTGTAAAAGAAACAAGACAAAGAAATTGATAAGATACATTGAATACTTAAAGCCATTCCATAGAACATGCACTAAGATTGTTGTCAAACTGTACATGTTGGTTGCTAATCTTAAGGGAAAGTACAATTTGAAATAAAAAGGGGAGGTACCATACTCAAGCTCTTTAATGAACAGCAGTACCTTCTAGATATCCATATCATTCCTATGATATTATAACAATTACATTTGTGAGTATTTTTTCAATTGGTATTTCTGAATTTTTTTCCTTTCCTTACACTAATTGGTTTATAATTGTTTGAAAGCAGGAGAATAATTTCCCAATTCCAAGAAAGAGAAATAATGGTACACTGAAGGTCTTTAAGCTCATTTGTGATAAAATGACAATTTACTTGTCTGGTGAGCTCCAATTGAGAAAAAAGGCACCACTTTTATGAAGCATGCACCATAGTTACCCATTAAATTGTACACAGTGAGGTTGTGCAATGCAATACTAAGGAATGAAACTTAGTAAAGTATTAATATGTAATTGAACTCACAATCTTTTCACACAATAATAGTCCATTTTACAGTTGTGTGCTTGGTTGCCAAGCCTTTGAACAGGAATGAGGCTAAGGGTGACCTTGTTATGATACAAACCTTGCTGCTTTTCAAATACAAATCACTTTGTTATCATGCTAGCTAGATACTGGTCTCTATCACAACAAGGTTACCTTCAGCCTCACTCCAAATCAAAGGCTTGGCAACAAAGTACACAAAGGTGTGTATGAAGGTGTGTATGATGCAAGAAAATAAATGATACTTGGGATTGGACTCATAGTATAGTTAGATCACAAATCTTTCACATAACTGAGTAAATTGGAGCTATTGCCAGACCTAACAATAATCAATCAATGCATGAACATGATCCAAACTTTAATATCTTGGCTTTAACAATCACAACCTGCAGCTTAAGTTATTCACAGTAACACTGACCAACCAAAATCTAAAGAAACAAATTCAAAATCAAGGGAAGGAGCAGAAGAGTATGACAATAAGTCACAGTTTATCTCTGAGTCTGAACATCTCCCAGCTATTGATCAAATCTTGTGGAACTTGATTGTTTGGATGAAAACAAATATGTATGACAAGAATTGTGTGCTTGTAATATGTACATGTTAAATTTTATAATGATACAGTATGAACCGTGAACTCGTTCAGAAGAACATTTGGTAGCAGAGCAAGGTTCTTGCTTAGATTTACAAACATGGAACATCTGAAGAAAGAGGATACCGGATCAAAGAGCTCATACACAAGGAACTGAAACAAATTGATGATGGTGATGGAAGGAGCACTATTGTCAAGAATGGAGGTTATGGAAAGTCTAAATGTTTTTACGGACACTTATGAAGATGTGCTTCGAGCCTGTGACAAGTTAGAGAAGTTTTACAAGACTGAAAAGGATTCAGGAAACCTCAGTGCAGTTTCGAACGAACTGGAAGCAATCAAAGATTTTACTGAAGTTGAAGGAATTGTGAAAGGATATTTAAGCAACACTAACAGATCATCAGTCAAAGACCAAATGGAACGACTAAAGGAAGAAGTATCCAAATAACAAGAAGAAATCAGCCAAATCGATCAGGAAATCAAGCGAACATATGCAGAGTGCAAAAGACAACTCGTACAGAGCCTTTGTAGCCAGAATCCACCTACAGAGCTAGACCAAGAAGCAAGAAAAACTGCCAGCAGAGAAAGATGCAACCAAGAAAGATATGCAGAAGCAAAGTCAGAAGACCTTAAGAGATTTCAATACCCAAAGAGCTGTTGAACAAACCAAACTTTGATGTTAAAAAGCTAGCTGTTGTATCTTTGAATACTCTAGTTACAAGCCCTTCAAATGCTATCGGAAAGGTGCCCAGATTGTCTCCGCCTTTGTTCACTGGAGTTGTTTATTCCTCTACTCCAATTGCACCATTATTTCCTCTGAATTCAGTGCCATCTATGCCTTCTCTAATGGAACATGGACTTCAGTTTCAACAGTTAACATTAGCTATACCTGTAGTGCTGGTCAGAAGTCAAACGAATCAGTTAAATATTTCCCCGTTTTGTACAGTAACTACACCCATGCCGAGTATTTATGTAACACCATCAAAGCAACAAGTGCCCATTTTTGGAGGCCAAGCTCAGTTTACATCTACAGGGAACAACCAGCTATCTTCACTGTCAACCTTAGACCAGATCAGTGCCGATTCTTCTGCCCCACTAAATGAGTAAGTGTCCCTAAGTTCTTTGGCCAAAAGAAGAATTATGAAACCTGGAAAGCGGCCTTGTATTCCTGTGTGGATCATACAAGAGCGACGCCAGAATACAAGCTTTTACATTTACAGGAGTGCCTCCAGGCTGAGCCTTTTCAGCTGCAGCCTATGAAGCAGCCAAGACCCAATTGGCTTGAAAATATGGAGGAAAATGAAGGGTGTTGACTCTTTGACTTGAAGAACTGAATGCCTCCAAACCAGTGAGAGAAGACAATGAACGAGACCTAGAGAGATTTCCAAACTGCTTGATGGAATTGTCATGAACTTGAAGGATGCTAACCAGGAGGCAGAACTGGAAATGGATCATTGTACATCACTCTTCAGCAGAAGTTTAACAAAAGCCTTCTCACCAAATACAGTGGATTAGTGACAACCATTGAATTGAGAATGTAGAGACACTGAGAGAATTTGTTGATAGAGAAGCAAAGTTCTTGACCACAGCCTTGGAGACTATAAATAGTGTTTTCAAGGAATCCTTTGTGAGAGAGAAGAATACTCCACCTGTTGGGCAACCTTTGTAGCTCAGGATCCCTCATTCAACAAGAAGAAACCAAGTCAGGGTTGCCAACTGTACAGTGGCCAATTTTGAGTTCAGGCTTGTGAGAGCATTAAGAAAATGACAGCACCAAAGCAATGGGAAGTAGCAACAGCGCACAAATTATGTTTTCTTTATCTAATATCTAAGCTAATGGTCACAGAGGCAAAGCATGTCCAAGAAGTAGAATGTGTGGTCTTAGTGGATGCAGATCCAAGAAGTAGAGTGTGTGGTCTTAGTGGATGCAGATCAGCTCACCATCAGATGCTTCACGAAGATGAACCAGAGAACAAGACCTCTCACAATGATTCTTCAAATAAACCAGACCTGACCAGTGGACCTGCAGGTGGAGCAGCAGAAGAGGAGGAACCTGGTAAGAGAACCCATCTGACAACCACGACAATGAAACTCACTGTCCCTACTGAAGTTGTAGTTGAATGAGTAAATGAGTTAAATCAATGAAGAATTGCTTGTTTCGAACCGCGAACTCGTTCGAAAGAACTTACGTTATTACGGTTTTTAAGGTATTCGCGCTCAGTTAGAATGCAATCTTATGTACGGTAATAAAAATCAAACACAGTTAAATTTGACCTGCCGGACTATTTCAGTTTGTAAACTATTGTAGATTATTATGAGCTTGTGATAGTTTGACATTTTTGACAGCCTTAGTCTCTGGGCCTTTCCACACTAGCGGACAAAACTAGAATTGTCCCGACAAAATCAAAGGACAATTTTTTTTGCGTCTGTTGCATCCACATTAAAAATTACAAAAACGACAAATTCCGCGAACGCCTGATCTGTTCAGAAGACCGACCAGCATAGTTGCCGCAGTATCCAAGATTTAGTAAACTGATAAAAGTTTAATTACACGCTTGTCGTAGCTTATACTACAAATGATTGGGAAGTTAATCGCGGTTTTGTTTGTTAAGTCGATTTCGCTTAACTTTAACGTGTTTCTTCCTACACTTCTTTCGTGCTCTAGCCGCTTCCTGCGTGCTTTACAATAGAACAGAGTATAGTCAAGGCTTCCCTATTTGTTAAGTTTAGTTCAAGCTCGATATCAGAACTTTTAAAGGACTGATCATGAGTGTTAGAAGAAAGAACGATCGCGTTTGTGAACAAAATTTACGCTATAGCAACCAAAAACTATTCTTACCTTGAAACGTCCGCTATAAACGTCTCCGATCAAGATTGAGTACTTGTAGCTATCGCTATCAATCAATTATAGCGGAGCTCAGCGTAGCCCAATAATTCAACAAAATAGCAGTAACCCATCAAGCCGAAAACATTTGGTCTTAACAACGGGCGTCCGTACAAGGTGCTACTTTTAGCATGCGCGGCCAACTGTACCGTAGGCACGTCAACGCCACAGCTTTGCTCTAACCCGCGTCATTAGCGGGAAATCATACACTTCACTGCGTAGTAGAGTACAGTTTTCATGAGAAGTTCGCAATTTCAATTCAATTGCGGGACAACGACAAAATAATGATTCGAATTTAACTTCAAATAGACAGGGTTTACAAAATGAGGAAAGA